TCTCCCCCGGCAAAGATCTATCTGCGCGAAGCCGACCTATGGATAGAAAGAAAGATGCAGGAAAGGCAAATGAAAGAAGAAAGAAAAATTTGCTTTGGGAGTGTGAGATAGGCAGACGGGGAGTACGCAGCCGAACAACCGCTGGGGTTTCCAGCAGTGATAGCTGAACTAATCAGATGGGCCGCCCCAAACCTTACGCTGACATTTAAATCGGAAATCAACATCGGGTCCCGGCTATCCGAAAAACGCAGACTGAAGCGGAAGATCACAAAATGCAACACAACAAGGGGGTCGTTAGACCGTAGCTTGCGCGAAGGAAGAAGCTAATCAATCAGAATTGAGACAGGGAGGAGAGGCGAAAGAGAGATTTTCGAGCCTGCAAGCAGCAAGCAACAACGGCTTTTCAGCCGTTGCGCGCTAGCTTGTAGTTTAGGGGTATAGTAGGGGTGCCCCTTTCTCAAACTTTTATATATATATATATATATATATATATATATATATATATATAAGATTCTAAATATCTAAGCAGAAATGGACATTTTCAATGGATATGGTTGAAATTCATTGAAAATATATAAATGAGTCAAATACAAAATTGAGGAAGATTGAAGGTGATTTGATCTGATTTGGCATCAAAATTCGTAGTTAAAATCGAGTTCAAAAAATTCGTTTGCGACACATGTATCAAACATGTATCACACATATATCTCACACACAGGTATACATAGATATACATGCGATACACATTCGATACAAATATGATATACAAATGATACACAGTGTGATACACATATCATCTTTTTCCATGTTCATCTTCTACTTCGAACTTTCAATCCAAACCATATCAAAACTCTACCAAATCATCCAAAAACTGAGATTTAAACTCCTTAAGATATATCCAATATATTCCAATAACACCCACTCAAAGTAAAACAAAATTAAAAAATTTGACATTTTTTTACCACAAAAAGCTAATTAGCTAATATTGATAATATTTTATGAATTGATTAATTTTCATACTAACTTACTAATGGTCTGACATAACTAATAATTTTTCTATTAATTACAAATCAAAAGTACACTTTAAATTAGTTAGTTAAATATAAATTACTTGTCACTAAAATTATTTTTCAAAAGGTCTTTTTTAAGAAAAATAAGTTTCAAAATATGCTGAATTTAGAATCGTAAAAACATTTTCTTTAGCGTAAAGCAAAAAGTGGCAAACTGCCCCCAATAAGGATTAGCCCTTGGAAATCAGAAAGACCACCTCTCTCTCTCTCACACACACACAAACGCAAACTCTCTTTCTTGCACTTTTTTGCACCACCGGCCCCGGCGTGTCAGCCTTCAACTTCAAAACGGAAAGAGAAGAAGAAATGAGCGAAGACACGAAGAGAAACGGTATCGGAGCCGGAGCTGTGGCGGTGAAGTCTTCGTCGGACGATCGCAAGTCGTTATCAGCCTCCTCCGATGATCGAAAATCCTCTTCGAATTCAGCTACTTCTACAACTGTTGGGAAGAAGACAGTAATCATAAAAAGTGCCGATATGAAACCTGACCTCCAAAATGAGGCTGTCGACATTGCTATTGTTGTATATACTCTCTCTCTCTCTCTCGCGCGCGCGCACACACACACACACGAATTTGTTAATTATTCACGAACAAATTTTCGGAGTGAGAAAATAATTACTAGTAATTGAAATCGTGAATAAATTTAAGTTCTATTCACTGCCTGTACCAAATATTTACAGAATTAGGTCATTAAAATTTGTACACAGTTAGGTCATTTGGCAATTACTGGGGAAATCTCTTGATACAAATTAATTGGTACTGATAACTATGGTAACTGACCAGCTTTCACATGTTAAAATGTCTGTGCATATGACTTAAATCGTTTAATTCATTTAATTTATAAAGTGTGAGTAGACTTTGAACATCTCGTGATTATAGTGTCTAAGTTATTTTCTTTAATCAGAGGCCAAAGCAGTGTATTTCCTGAACAAAGGATCTTTTGTTTGAGTAAAACAATTTAATTAAGGATTTAAGTTATATACACTCTGTAAAAAGTATTTTAACCTGTGATATTGGTGAGTTATCATTTTTACCTGATCACCTATTATAATACTTACCAAGAGATTCATCTCTAATTACCTAATAAATGACCTTATTATGTAAATACAATATCTCTTACACCCTCAATGCGTAGAATTTAAACTCTTTAATTAACAAATTCGTAAGTACAATATTGAATGTTTCTCTATTTATTTTCTAAGTTATTATCTTTGATTCAAGAGACAAAAAGTGTATTTCTTAGACAAAAAAGTGAGATGGATCTTTGCTTGAGAGTCCGAACCAAAGTGTGATTTTATTGGACTCAAAGCACAGAAATAGGTAAAAAAAATAACATGTGACCATTTTATGTATAACGCATGGATTGCATGCGCTATACCTTAACGACACGTTTGTCCGTTTAGGTATAGCGCATGGAATCCATGCGCTATACCTGATTTTCAAATGTCGGTTAAAGTATTCCATGCGCTATACCTGATTTTCAAATGTCGGTTAAAGTATTCCATGCGCTATACCTGATTATCAAATGTCGGTTAAAGTACAGGTATAACGCAAATATTAGATGCACTATACTGAGGTTGAAAAGACAGATAGGTATAGCGTATCTAATATATGCGCTATACCTGTATTAAAAAACGGCCAGCCCTTATTCTTCGTGACAGAACCCCATCTAATATTTGCGTTATGCCGAATTTTTGTGTAAAATATAAAAGTTAACAAACAAATCGTTACGAATAAAATAAATTGCATAGTATTTAGTATTAAGTTTTTAGTATTTTATATATGAATAATTATTAAATATATCGTGATTAGTTGTGAAAATTAAATATTTAATTTTCTTATAACCCAAAAATATCTAAAAAAAGATGACAGTTCAAACAAAATCATGCCGAATTTTAGTCAAAAAATGTAAGAAACAACATAGACGTAATATAGTCCCTAAGAGCCTATAAGCAGATGAAATGTGAGCGTCTCCTGTCGCCACTGCTCTATCATAGACGTGATCAGGGGCCAGTCGAATTGCAACCGACCGATCTTATAATCCGATTAAATCCTGTACGCTCAAGGCGTGTAACTGTACGGGGATGAAGTGTGTGGTCCCTAATGAACTCTCAAAGATCGTCTATACGTCTGGAGTGGAAGGTCTGGGACAACAACTGTCCATCCCAGATGTGTAAAGACCTATAGCCACCTTGGAGCAACAGTAGCTCTCGAACAACAGGTCCAAGATGCACAAGGGAAGCTCCATGACGATGTTTGTAAATTGAATAATAATTATAGTATTTTTTTCTCTAATTGTTTAACATCTTTAAATATATTGCGATATTTTTTATTTTAATATTTAATCGATAAATTTTCTATATTATTACTTAGGTTGATAAATTTTCTATATGTTATTTTCTTATATTTTTTGACTAAAATTCGGCAGTGTTTTGTTTGAACTGTCATCTTTTTTTCCAGATATTTTTGGTTATAAGAAAATTAAATATTTAATTTTCATAACTAATCACGATATATTTAATAATTATTCATATAAAAACTTAATACTAAATAATATTCAATTTATTTCATTCGTAACTATTTGTTTGTTAACTTTTATATTTTAAACAAAAAATCCGGCATAACGCATATATTAGATGGGGTTCTGTCGCGAAGAAGAAGGACTGGCCGTTTTTTAAAACAGGTATAGCGCATATTAGATGCGCTATACCTATCTGTCTTTTCAACTTTAGGTATAGCGCATCTAATATTTGCGCTATACCTGTACTTTGACCGACATTTGAAAATCAGGTATAACGCATGGATTGCATGCGCTATGCCTTATTGGACAAACGTGCCGTTAAGGCATGCAATCCATGCGCTATACATAAAATGGTCATAGGTTTTTTTCACCTATATTTGTGCTTTGAATCTCTTTGCTTGATTGTCAGGAAGAGTCCAGAATTTTAAGTGTCTACTCTGATCAGAATATGACATGACTATACAACTTCTGAATGTTTATACATTTTGTCTGTGTGTATAATTTAGGCATTTGAGAAGTGTAATGTAGAGAAGGATGTAGCAGAACAGATTAAGAAGGAGTTCGACAAGAAGTATGGCCCTACTTGGCATTGCATTGTCGGAAAAAACTTCGGTAAACATGCTTGACTCTTCTGATCTTCCAGCTTGTTTTTTTCTTTTTCAAGTTCATAGGTGCTGCATTGGTTATATTGATAAACATTTCTACATGAAATCAAATTTCTTATTGTCTAATTAGAAGTTGATGCTTTAGAAGGTGACATGGTAACAAAGCTAATGTTAATTGTTTTCTTCTTGCGGCCTATTGCAAGGACATGCAATTTATGTTGGAAATGTGCGGATCTGGCCTTCCTTCAGGCTTTATCTTGAATGTCAGGGTGGATTAGTATTTGTGCATTTTAAATGACTTGTCAAAGGATCTTATTTTCGTCTAGCTTTTGGATCTTTGAAGGTCAAAGGAAAAGCTTACCTGGGAAGGGGGTTTGGTTAGAATTTCTGTGTTGAGGTTTTCACCACTCTTGGTAGAATATATCTAGGTTCAATAGTATTAGGTGGTTCGGTAACTACTTAATTAGAATTATGCAACTACTTGTAACATAAACTGGCATATCGTGTGCTAACACGTTCTCATTAAACTTTTGGTTTTTTTCCTGCAAGAAAATATCAGTAATCACAAAATTTGGTGAGAATGACCCTTTTTTCTAACAACGGGTCAAATGGTAATGGATATCATCATTTCTAACAGGTCTCAAAAGATAATTTATTGGTTGGCCAGCATCTGGCTTAGCCGGCCCCATTATGGTAAAAGAACCTTTGGTATCCTTTAGGATCTTTAAGGTATCGACAGCATGTCCTTCAATCTTGCTAGGGTTTCTACGAGATCGTCTACCTTGTTATGTGCTTGTTTTCTTGACAAACACATACACCCGGTTATTAAACCGCAATTGATGACATCAGAGATTCCTCTTGTGAACACATGTAGGATGGTGAAACTTTCATTGCTAAGATTGTTGTCATGCGCCCACATGAGCGGCCAAACTCTCAGCTTGGTGGCATGTTTACCCATTTGCCATGTTTGTGTGAGATTAGAAATTGTGGTAGTAAATAAGGCAATGTTTTCTCTATTAATACACAATCACTGAGAGATATTGTGCTTATCGTAAACTTAATTCTTCACATGTCTCACGTTAATTTACTTATTTTTCTTCTGTCTGTTTTATAACTCTTTCTCCTAAATGTCATAATCTGGTAGGTAAAATTCCTATATGCTAATGCCGGCATTGTCATTTATAAAGATGAAACATAAGTTTCTTGCTATGAAATTCTTCTTGTGTTAGTCTATTCTTTTAGGTGATGAATGGTTTTTGTGATTACCACCGGTCCTGTGAGATGCGAATAAATGGATTATGCATAGAGTATCATTTGTTATGCCTAAGTGGTCGCACATGACTTTCCTGTGCTTGTGAAGAAAATCAATGAGTGATGAAGTGGGTTAGAAGTTGATCACGTCTAGATTAAAAGAAATAGGTTAGAGGTTGATCGTGACTAAACGAGAACTCTCTGTTTTAGTGATCCATTTGAGAGTAGAAGTGTAATACATCAAATCTATCAGAGAATCAGCAGTCTGCTACTAACAATAGTCCTTTGTTTATCTTTACGTAGGACGAATCCTGTAATAGTTTGACAGGGTATTCATTCTTTGTAAGGGGTCGTTTGGTAGGGTGCATAAGAATAATGCTGAATGGGGTGTATTAGTAATGCTGGTATTAGTTATATTTGCATTAGTTATGCTGGTATTAGTTATTCTGACATATTTCTTATCCATTGTTTGGTTTGATGTATTAAAGCATTGCACAATTTCTAAAAGAATTGCTTGTTTACAAACAAAACCAGTTTATCACTCTAACTTTTTAAAAGAAACATATGTAGAAATGTTTTTATATGAAAAAGTTTAAAAAAAATTGTTTGATTTGTCTACCTATATTGTAATATAGAACAAAATATTTATTTATAAAATAAAATATATGCTAAGTATTTATTTATTTACTAGAGATATAATTTTATTTCTCACTATTTGGATTATTTTAAACTTGCATTAATATAATAACTAACATATTTTAATCAAGCATAAATTTTAAAGGACAATTTTGTCTTTAACTAAGCTAATGCAAGCATTAAAACCCATTGCATTGCTAATACCATGGTTTTCTATGCATTAGTTATATAGGATACCAAATAGGATATATAACTAATGCTTGCATAACTAATGCATAGGTTCAAAATGTCTACCAAACAAGGTATTATTAATACACAAAGCTAATGCATGTATTATTTTATCTAATGCATCCTACCAAACGACCCCTAAGTGCTAAGGCTTCAGTTGTCAAACTATACTTGAGCTTCTTTCCGTCACTTTAGTAAAACATCTGTACTTTTCATTGTGTAACTTGTGGTACTTGTTCAGATAAGCAGTGTAATAGAATTATCACATTTTTGGGTACCTATAGAAAGAAAAGGTTTTCCTTCTTAATCCGCAATGGAGATTATACTGTTCTTTAATACAGCTATACTGACCACTTACCCTTGGTATCAAATAATTTGAAGGCTGACGCTAGTTGCAATAGCCAGTTTCGGTTCAACAGCAGTTCAAAAGTAGCTACTGACATTCAGCCAAAAGCTAGACGCGGCCAACCTCATGTATTACATTTGATAATTTGAAGAATTTTGGAGTACAGGTTTGAACTTAATGACAAAATTAGCCTAGAGGCACCATGATAAAAGTGGGTTTTATGCCCACCCCTGGACTATACAATTGCACTCAAAAGACAAAATTAACCTAGAGGCGCCATGATAAAGTGGGCTTTATCCCCACTCCCACCCACAGTAAAAAATAAGTACAAAATACAAAAGCAATATGTGTAGAAAAGTAACAGAGCACTCGAGTGACTAATAGTGTGTAGAAAGGTGGCAGAGAACTTGATCTCCACTGTCGATACTTATTAAATTGATTCACGCAGACCTATAGATTTGTCAATTACTTAGCCTGAATGGGCTTTTCACAGCTGAAGCTCTGTTAACATCTGTAGATGTGATATAGATGAATGATATAGTATTATCTTTTGGTCGACGTATCTCATCTGGTGCTTCTTGAAACAACACAGGACTTTTACTTTCTCTTGTTCAGACAGGAAACTGTTAAACCTTTTCAGTTATCTTTGCCTGAGTTATATAGTATAATTTAATATGGTTATATTTTATTGTCACTTTGAGCCTCTCTATCCCTCTCGAGGTAAGAGTAAGGTCTGCGTACATTCTACCCTCCCCAGATCCCGCTAGTGGGATTCTACTGGGTGGTTGTTCTGGGTGGTTGTTCTTGTTGTTTATATTTTACTGTCACTAAATTCTTTTGTTGATCTCCTGGTACCTTTTTCTTTTTGCTCTCTCTAGCGCCATAAAACAAGAGGTGGAATATTCAATTTGCAGTGCCAGAGTATTATAATTTTATTTCTGTGCTTTGGTAAACCAAAGTTTATTAGAGATAAAATGGTTTGACCATGAATTTTGTCTGAAGTGTACATCAAAAGAAATTACTTGATGCCTCCAATATATCTGCTTTCAGGACAACCATGAGGCAATACATTTGTCATTCTGCTTTAGGTCTAAGAGGTTTGTGAATATAATTTTAGTGTCTTCGGCTCTGGTAGACAATTTGTCCTCGTGCGATGAATATTAGGGGAGTTCGTAATTTGGAATAGCTGTCCGTTGCTTGAGTCTGATGTTGATGGAATTTGTTTTCCACAATATCTTGGTTGCTAATCTCAAATTGTGCTCTGCTGAGCTTGTGCATAGCCAAGATTTTGTTTGCCCCATTAGCAATTTCAGTTTTGTTGGTCGTTTCCCTTAACTGTGATGAATGCTGCTAAAGTCATTTCAATTCAGATGAGAATGTGTTGGTCATTTGTTTTATTCCTTTTTTCTTCCGCCGTATACTGACAGATTGTTGAGTTTGGTGAGGATGGGAAGTCTTGTCTGCATTATGATGCTTTTTTTGAATAATTTGTTCATTTTAAACGAAAGATTGACTTCTTTGATGATTTGATCTACAGACTTATAGCCTGTTTGGCCAAGCTTCTTTTTGGTCAAAAGTGTTTTTTTTTTTTTTGCCAAAAGCACTTTTGGCCAAAAATTGAGATGTTTGGCCAAGCCTTTGGAAGGAAAAAAAGTGCTTTTTAGGAGAAGCAGAAGCAGAAAAAGTGGCTTCTCTCCAAAAGCACTTTTGAGAAAAATACACTTAGAAGCAGTTTTTTAAAGCTTGGCCAAACACTAATTGCTGCTCAGAAGTGCTTTTCAAATTAATTAGCCAAACACAAACTGCTTCTTGCCAAAAGTACTTTTGAGAAAAGCACTTTTGAAAAAAAATGCTTCTCAAAATAAGCTGATTTTTGCAGCTTGGCCAAACGGGCTATTAGTATACATCAACAACTCATGACATTTTTGTGTTTTACCTTTTCCCACGTAGGTTCTTATGTGACTCATGAGACGAACCACTTTGTATACTTCTATTTGGATTCAAAAGCTGTACTTCTATTCAAATCTGGTTGAACTTGCTGGTGACAATGATAGAGAAAAGGGTGACCACGACAGTGATGTTATAGTCTGCCCATGTATGTATTGAAAATTCCCAGCTACAAAGATCTAGTGGGAAATATATGTACCTGTATAATCGAATCATTACTCAAATGGTCACGCAACTATCCGTAGTTATCTAGTAAAGTTATTTTTTTTCGTTTGTAACAAAAAGTCACTTAACTATACCTATAGTGATATGAAAGACGTCCTTATCATGAAAAAGAAAACAAAATAAAGTGTTAAGAGAGGTGTTGGGTTGAAATTAAGCCCGGAAGATTTCTAGGTTTCTCAAATCGTGTTGCGTATTTTTTGAGAATCATAGTTGTTATCTAAAATTTGTTGAAAAAACTTGTTATGAAATTTGATTTTATATGTTAAATTCAAGGAATTCTATCTCGAAGCAAGATCAAATATTTGAGCAAAATATACGTGGAGTTATTAATTAACTCTAATTTCATATAGTAACTGTATAAAATGAACTAGCTAATTGTATGTCAGTACTTCATTTAAAGCTCAAAGACAGATCGTGATCTGTGAACTGGAATAAATACAAGACCAATAACGCTGCAAAATACTCATTCCGTTCACCTTTACTTATCCACTAAGGATTTTTCACATCTCTTAAGAAATAATAAATGGAGTATTTAATTTACCATAATATTCATATTAATTGATGCATATGTTAATGGATTTGAGAAAATAATTTGAAATGAGTAATTAATGTTGCGGGTATAACAGAGAAAAAGAAATTTTGTCTTCTCTTGACATGCTAAAAGTGAAAATCTATTTTTAGAATACTGGACAAATAAAAGTGAACGAATGGAGTATATCTTTACCAAAACAGATAGCAACATAAATAATGAGAGGCAGATCTAGAAATTTTAAACATGGATGTACTATTAAAGAAAGGACGAAAAAAAGTACTCATTAAGTGGGAAATAATTCATATTTTTTTGAGTAATTCATTATTTAATCAAGTGCATCATTCAGCCTTTGTGGAGCATGGATGCTATCAGATAATATTAGACTAATTCTAAAAAAATACATACATAAAATACTTATTTTGAAAAAAAAAATTATGGGTTCACGTGCCCCATAATTTTGCCGTATAAATCCGCCCCTAGCAACATTGACTCTCCTATCACTTAGAGGCCAGGAAAGTAAATAAGGTTAGTTTTTTTACCACTCTTTGTGATAAAAAATACTTAAAAATGCCTCCTTTCCTAGAAAAAAAATAGAAAAGGAGAGAGCAGATTTCGAATATACTAAATTTTAAAAATCC